GAAAAGAGATCATAACTATGAGTATCAAGTGCCACAGCATTTGCACACACAAGAAAAAAATACCGTGATTTTGTTGTTTATGCATGTGACACAAAAGGTAATACTTCTCTTGTTATACAGAGACTTTTATCAGACATTGCTCACTGGATTGTAACCATTCCTAAACTATCTCTCTTTAGGAGGTCGTGCATTCTTCCCAAAATTATGGGCAGGTGGTACACAAGGAAGCGCCACCTCAGTGAATTACCTTTGCCTGAAGCAGATGGAGTATGTTATTGTCAACAGTAAAAACCTGATGAGGGGAAAATTACATGGGTGCAGTATCACGTTCTTCCATTGTTCTTGTCTTGGCATAACACAATATTTACCCAAGACCTGGTATTGCCCGACCTGTCGTACCCTCCCACGGTGTAAGAGAGGAAAAGGCAGTGTAAAGGGCAATAAACCGAATTGTGCAGCTTTGTGTTTGCAAAAAGGAAGCCACACCAACTGATCGCCTTTTGGAGTGCAATGGGTCAAACTGTTCCAATGGGAAGTTCTTCTGCCTGCAATGCTTGAACTACAAGCGTAGACCCAATAATACTCATGCTCAATAATAGTGTTAACTGGAAGTGCGATAGATGCAAGACAGGCACAGAGGTAAAAACAACTATGAGATTGTCCAGTAGTGGTAAGCCAATCTGCCTAGTGCAAAATCATCAATCAGCAATGGCAACCCCTCAAACAAATTCTGCAGCCCCAAAGCTACAGTGAGGGACGATTTGGATTTCCTTTGATCCGAAAATTTTTCAAAGCTGCAGGAAGAAGCAGTTTGGATAAAATTTGGCGACGCTGTTTCGATAATCGCGTCAATATATTGCTGAAGTATGTTATTGTGCTTTAAACTTACAAATGCACACACTGTTCGTAGTAGACCCACACTAAAAAATGACACTGATCGTTTTCGGAATGGACTGGTCCGCGAATTCAAAGAAAAACAATTTTGCAATTTAGCAGAGCAACTGTTGACGTACTTGTTTTTGTATTGCGCGTTGTGTTTTTTCCCGTAATTAATTATGTATGTTTTAACGCGGTACATGTACCATGCTCGGCGTTGGGATTTTGCATTATCAGCAAGTTTTTGTTTCAGAATTAGAGTGTTTTGATGGCAGGGAGGTGACAGGAAAAGGTAATGACTCAATTTTACTGAAGCAAAATTGTGTTCTAGAGGAAATGAAAGAAATTGAATTGAGATCTCGTCGTGTGAAATTTATTTATAACAGACCTTACAATTCCGTTGGTTTAAATAAGGTTAGTAATTTCTCTCGACGCGGTCGTGCACCTAGCAGACTACCGATGAATTTGAAGAAATTAAAATCTTTGTCACAGAAACACGGAAAGTGAGAGTTTTTGTATGGAAGGGTATTGGGGAAAATACACCATGTCGTGTAAAATTAATTGTTAAGTTAAAAATACAAATGGTTTAGACTTAAAGAGGTACAGAAGTAACTGTAACAGTGTGAGGTTTTTACTTAAAGGGAAACTCCAAAATTAGTTCGTAAACGAGGGAAGGTGTATCTGTCGTCTAAGAGACAAAGCAGAGGCGATTTATGCACTAGTCAATTGTAACCACCCAAATGAAACCTCCGGGGAATAGTGGGGAAATTTACAAAAGTATCCTCATAATTTAACGGATTTACCCCCTCCTATGGACAGATTCACGTGGTTATGCATCAGTCAATTCCACCTGCGCCCAGCTCCCCCCCGGGCTACTGCGGGGCATTTGCCCGCCTTGTCAGTCCCGGGGGTGGGGCATTTGCAAATTTTGCACTGCCCGGGGGCCGGGCATTTGCCAACCCCCGGGCCATTCTCGACCTTTTGACACGCACGCAGTTTCCTATCAGAATATAACTACACAGAAGGTTTTACTGGAAAAAAAGCAGATTGGCTCATCTGTCAAGGACAGGAATAAATGGTAGAGGTTTGTAAAGGCATGTTCTCGATTTTACATGTATGCATGCATTTCTTCATTGCTTATCAAGCCAGAATTACATAGCGAAATTGGAGCTATCGATGTGAATCAACGTTTTTTTGGTTATTGACTCAAATTTCTGTTGATATTATTTGAAGAACAACCTTTTATATTTATAAAACTATTCATAATATACTGAACTTTATTTACAGCGCTCTATTAATTTTAATGGTAATAATTTTATATCAATACTAAAACCATAAGTTGGTGCATGTCGTCGCGGCCTGAAGTCTTTAGAATCCTAGCGCTATTACAAAGGAAGACGTTAATTGAAACAAAAAATCGCACTTTAAAATGGCACTATTGGACTGTGTGATCAATAAAAAATGTTGCACTGTTGACGGAGGACGGTGCATTTGCCCTCTTTTTTCGTCCCCCCGGGGGATTTGCCAGCTCAAGAGTCCCCACCTCCTGGAATTTGCCATCTAAGGCAAAAAAAATGCTAATTCCCGGGGGTCAGCCCGGGGGCTGGGCGCAGGTGGAATTGACTGATGCATAATATTACCCCTTCCTAGGGCTGTCGAATGGTCTTCGCGAGCATTCACGAGCATGCCGAGCACTGCGATTTTTTTCGTTTAAATTTTGCGAGCAAATCGAGCAAAGGTAAAATTTTGCGAGCAGTTAAAAATTTTAATGGACCATTCGTCACCCCTCTTCCTAATAAGCTGTCTGTCAACGAACCGCTATTCAAGTTTAACAAATGACTTACTTTTAACTGATCAAATATTTGATGAATTTGAATTGAGTCATGCATCGTATCTCTCCCTACAAAAACAAAAAAAAATGCCATATATAAACTGACACATTTTAAAAACTTTCAGATACTGATCAAAATGAGTTCATCAATGTATGACAAAGATTCGTACAATCTATGATTTGTAGACCATTGTCGATGGTCTACAAATCATAGGTTCAAAAAGTTATTTTTATGCATATGTATTAAATGTTCAAAACCGAACAGACAACAAACCAGAACAACAATGGAGAAACATTGTGTGTTCCGACGGGTCTGTTGCGTTTGCATTTTTATCTAAATTTGTTGTATCAGTTAGTAATGCTAGGACCGAAACAACCATATCATGAAAAGTATAGCCCAAAGCTGCCAGAGAAGGTTGGGCAGCAGTCGGCAATGGATCATGGGGCGAACCGTTGAGGAGCTCAGTACGGGTCAGTTACAAGTCTTTAGACAGCAGGATTACGCTAAAATTCAGGATAATTTCGAATAAAACAAATTTATCCTATCCAAATTGTTTATTTTTCATAAGGAAGTGGCTGAATTGCCTTTCAAACTCTGCTAGTTGGCTGCGAAAGTTAGCAGGGTCATAGCCTTCATGAAGGCTTGACGTTGTCGATGGTCAACTGACTCCCCACCCCCGGTATAGATGTGTGTATCTGTACATTTTGGGTAATTTCCCAGGGGGCTAGTGCAAGAAATGAATGTAAAATCAACGTATTTGCCCCACTATTGCTCCGTAAAATCCCCACTATCCGCGGGGGTTTGGCCGGGGGGTCGGAGATGCAATTGACTAGTGCATTATAATTAGGTGCATGGGATGAGCTATCCAAATAGGGTTTTAAGTAAGTATTTGACCCTCTGTACATGCAATTATCCATTTTATAGTGCTTACAAGAGTTTAAATCACCGGGTTAATTTTGGTCAGTTTAAGCTTTGTACTGATATCCAGACGAATCCTTGACCTTCAGTTTATGTAGATGCTACAAAAACAATTCATGCTCCATACTGTCAAGGAAACGTTGCTGTATTTGGGGAAAATGCTGGAAAACAATGTTTTGCAATGAGGTCTGTGCGCTTTAATTTACAGTAAGATAAGAAGGATTACTTCATGCAGTTGATGATATGATTCAAATAATGATTGTTGGTAGTCAATTAAATTGTAATCTTTCACTGCTTGCAAGACAATCTATGTTAGTGTTAACAGAATTGCCAGGAATGCATGGCTACAGTGTTTGAGTGATTTTTCCAGCTTAAATACAGTGAAAGTTATACTTATTACATGCATGCGGTGATGCCAGAATTGAGGGGTATCACTACTGTATATGCCACTGTGAACAGCATTTGAAACCGCTCCTGGCTCTGAACTATAACTCATTCATTTTAACGGTGGGAATTATTGGTGTTGGTATCTAAAGCATTGAGGGTGGGGGATATAAGGTATTTGATTCTCATGCCATGCTAGAGATATGTATGGTAACAGTCATAGTGAAAGGACATGCATATGTGTATTGTTGGAAGTACCATCCATGCATAAATTAGTACAATATTTTCAGAGTCAAATCCTTGTGGATAGACAGGACTGAAGTTGAAGTTCAGGAACGTTATCTGCCCTTGAACCGGAATACACTGTATAATGTGATGGGTGTGAAAAGTCGATCTTCCCCAAAGTATCAGTATCAGTGGAGCTGAGATAAACCTTACTGTCCGAGATGTAAGCACAGGTGTCCTATGTTGCAATTTGGCTGAGAGAAAGAATGTGTTGAAGATGTGCATTTCAAAACATTGTCTTGAAGTGACAGGATTTTTGCTGTAGATTGGAACATACCGTATAAGCTGTGTGGTTCAGAAAAGAAGTAGCGTAAAGGATTTATTTTCTCTGGTGGGATATGATGACAATTGGCATGTTTATCTGCAATAAGGCATGTTAAAAGTGTCATAAGCGTAGTACAACAAGTGGCAATATACTATGAAGGAAAGGTGAAGCCTTCACCTTTCCTTCATAGTATATTGCCACTGAGACTATTTTTCCCGAAACTTCGTATACACTGATTAAGGACAGCAACAACTCGCCACATGGTAAGTTTCATCGATTTTTATTTCCATTTTCTAGCAAATTTCCAGACCTAAACTTCGCCCCATATGTTCTCTACATTTAACCACATGTTATGAAATCCGTACGTGACAGAAATAGTGAGCCTGGGTTACCTGTGGTTGATATTCTGTCCCCTCCCCGCTTTAAGGCTTTGATTGGAACGTTGATTGGTCAATCGCTTTCTTTACTCTCGTACTGATTTTATACTTGATCCTAGAACACGGAAGCTGTTTCTTGACTTGAACGCGTTTAACCTTCAAACTACAGGATTAACGGAAGTTTGAGGTAAACAACGTTATGGTCCTTGTTGTTGAACGAAAAAGGATGAGACACTTTTATTTCACTTTTGTTTTCAAGATTTTGTCACCCGAATTTGCCGCCATCGCGGACAGTTCCACATCATAATCATTCGGCTCCTGGCTGGCCTCAGGGGCTTGATGTGTGAGCTGTAAACGCACCTCACTTACTGCAGATTTTATCCTTCACAATGCCCTCTCTAACCAGTGAAGAGATCACTTTCTTTGTCAATGGAAAAAAGGTTGGTAATTGCCTCGATCTGCGTTTGTTTGAACCCTCGATATTCACCGTTTTGACTTCTACGTGATATTGCACCTATCAATGTAAAGCCGGCGGGGGGGGGAAGGCAGGGCATGGGGTGGAGATTTGACATTCTTTTTAAATTCACTGCCCACGGGCAAACCATTCCAGTCAAATGCAACCAAATTTCTTCACTCTGGGCTGCACATTGCTGTCAAATATCCTAAGGCTGGACCCAAGAAAGGCACAATAAAAATATCTCCAAATAATACTCTGCAATCTCTATTTGTATCACGTTCTGCATCACCAAAGATGCATGTTCCTGTTACAGCTGCAATTATACGTTTCAGCCATAATCTGTATTACACTGCGTAGAATACAGAAACCTTTAGGAGAAAGTCCACATTTTGTAAGTTTAAATATACCGTTCTTAGTAAAGGGTAAAAGGAAAGTCAGTTTTATAAGCTTACAGTGACGGTAGCGAATGAGCCATACACTGATTAATTGTTCTTGCAAAAATCGACTTGGCTGCTCTTTACTTCCGTTTACTTTGATACCACAGTATCTTAGTAGGTTCAGTTGATCAAAAACACGGTAAAACAAACGAAATTTGAAGACAAAACAGTGAAATCCACCCTGCTTTCGCTTGTTCTTGTTGGCCTCCATGATTTCCAGATCTTTCCAGACCGTGCGGCGCATGCGTGAAGTGTGGAAGTGGGAAACATATGTTTAGTCTCAGTCTTTTTTGTCCGAGTCGGCAGTCAAATATCTCCACGTCGGGCAAAGAAAGATTCAAATATCCCCACACCTGGGAGAACAAGATCAGACAAATGTTAAATGCCCTACCCCAGATCCAACAACGACAATCAACTCCCCACCCCATGCCCTGCCTCCCCCCAGGCTGACCCCCTGGCATTAGCATTTGTTTTGCCTTGGATGGCAAATTCTGCGGGGTGGGGACTCTCGCGCTGTCAATCCCCTGGGGTGAGGACGAAAAAGAGGGCAAATGCCCTGTCCTCCGTGAACACTGCCACAATTCATTGATTGCACAGTCAAGTGGTGCCATTTTAAGCATCTTAATGTGCGATTTTTTGTTTCAATTTATGTCTTCCTTTGTAACTGAGTGCTATTCTAATTAAGAGTTCACGCCGTGACGACACCAGTTTATGGTTTTAGTATTGTTATAAATAAAATTATTGACATTAAAATTAATAGTGCGCTGTAAATTCTTAAGTTAACTGTTATGAATAGTTTTATAAATATGAAAGGATGATCTTCAATAGTATCAACAGAAATTTGATTCATAACCCAAAAAACGTTGATTCACGTCGATAGCTCCCGATTTGTAATTCTGTTATGTAATTCTGGCTTGATAAGCAATGAAGAAATGCATGCATAAAATCGAGAACATGCCTTTACAAACTTCTTCAATTTTTCCCCATCTTTGACAAACGAGCCAATCTGCTTGTTTTTCCAGTAAAATCCTCTGTGTAGTTATATTCTAATAGGAAACCGCGTGTGCAAAATTTGCAAATGCCCCACCTCCGGGACTGACAAGGCCGGCAGATGCCTGCGGTAGACCGCAGGTGGGGGGGTTTGGCTTGGCTTGGCTTGGCGCAGCTGGAATTGACTGATTCTGATGCATAAGACCTGTACAAGATTATATTAGTGACGTGTCTTTTTTTCCCTAGGTTATAGAGAGAAAACCTCAACCTGAAATGACGGTACTTGGATATCTTCGAAACCACTGTATCCTTTGATTTAAAGTGCAAAAGATTTTTATCTTGGTTCTCATTTATCACAAGCTCTGCACATAAGCCAATCAGTTAAGGTGTAGGGCAATACAAGACAGCAATTCGCTCAAATTGTTATTTACGATAGGACAGACGCACTTGTAAGTAAAAGTGGGGAATCAGTATATGGTTGTAAATATTCTCTGACTACACAATAAAGACAGTTTTTTATATGTTTTGATTGTGTTCTTGATCATATACACAGCAAAAAATAACGGATTCCCATTTTTGGATATTTTAGGGTATTTAAAGAATACCCACAAAAATCCCAAATTTGGAAGAGTGAGACAAGTCCCGATCAGGGAACTTGGTTGGGAATTCCCTGGTTGGGACTTGTCTCACTTTGCGAAATTTGGGATTTTTATGGGCATTCTTTAAATACCTAAAATATCCAAAAATGGGAATCCGTTATTTTGTGATATGTAGGTGAGAAAGGTCTTGTTCACCAATATTGTCTACAAACAATTATGGATGAAGTTTTTGTGATAGCTAAGTTAATCTAGGTTGAAGCAAGTGGTATCACATTGGATTTGGCTGTGATAGCCACAATCGGCGACAAAATTGTTGAGACTTTGCCCTCAAATGGGGTTACTTTGAAGAACAAAATAATTCAAACCCACCTCCCCCTCCTCCATTCAAAGTTGGGGTGTTTGTTGTTTTTGTGGCCTACTGCCTCGAGGCAAAAAGCCACATTAATCCTTTATCCCAAATTTATAAGCCTTTCCCATAGTTAACAGCTCTTAACAGCGACTTTAAAATTTTTGGAATTATTGAGAATTCCTAGGAATTCCCCAAAATTCCAACTGCTGTTTTCACCCATTCCCAAGTATTCCCCGAAATTCCAAGGTTTTTTTATCTTTGCTCATTTTGCATGTCTTGGAATAAATTGGAATTCCTAGGAATTTCCAGAACTCTGGGAATTCATTTCACAAGGGTAGTGTTCAAATGTAATGAATCGAAGAAGCTTAAAAATTTTAATAATCATTTCTTTGAGTGCCAATATCAACATAACAACATTTACCAGCATCTATAATAATATACACAATTTATTGCGACTAAAATCTTTAGAAAACAATTATCAACCGATTTAAGCACAATTAACTGAAAGCCTGATTTATTCAAAGTGTGACTAAAGTGTGACTTCAGTACCTGAGCTTTCCAAACATAAAATCCACAACATGTTTTTCATTGAAGCTTGGTAATAAAAGGTCATCGTTTCGAGAAAACGCAATGTAAATTTTTCCTCTCGCTGCTTACACCTCAAAAGCGTTGGACCATTTTATTCAGCTCTGAAAACGACCGCTTTTTTCGACTCACTAAACTAGATAACCGGGTAGATTGCCCGCCATGTTTGTTGGTTGAGCTATACTGGTTACCAGTCTTCCACCAAGTGTCCCTCATCACGTGCGCCTTTGGCATGTGTTTGGTCAGTTCTAGCCTGAGTATCAGGCCTTCCTAAGGGTCTAAGGGAGAGGAGATTTTAGATGGAGGAGGGGGGAGGGGGAGAAGAGAAAGAGTATCAGCTCTCTACCTTTTTCGCTTCCATCTTTCCCTTTCCCCCCAGAAACGCCTGCCATCTTTCCCTTTCCCCCCAGAAACTCCTGCTACTCAGGCTAGGTCAGTTCAAATTGACGCGGACTTGCCATTAACAAGAGCACAAGGACTTTTCATCTGAAATTGACGTTACTTTAAAGGCGGATTGTTCATTTATTTTGTTGTTGACATATGAAACGTGCTTCCAGTCATGTCCGAGGACGATAAGTCAGCTGGATTGTGGAAGGTAAAGGTATGTTCCTGCTTCGTAATGTGTCTTCTGATGGTAATTGCGTACTCAAAACATGAAGCTGGAGATCAAAGTTAACTTATAGATCGTTCCGATATGAACGGAAAACTTCAAGATGCAATGGAATATCATTTATTGGTTACAATGGTTCCTTTTTGTTCACTGCAGACATAACTGTAGTCGTTGTTGCAAATGGTTGATGGAATCCTGCATGAATAAGCTGGCAAATCTTACAGCAGAATCTCGATAACTCGAACTCGGATAACTCGAGTTCCCCACTAACTCCAACTAAATTTGCTTTCCCTTGATCAAAATTTCGCTGAAATTTACCTGATGACTCGAATAATCCCCGCTTTAACTCGAACTCTTTGTCGTTTACCTTCAGAGCTCGAGTTACCCGCCCGGGCTCCTACTTTAGTTATGAAAATGTAAACGCCATGTACATGTCTATAGTGTACTAGAATGTTATTATTTCAGTTTCCAGTTCATTATCTCGTTCTCAGTTTGAGACCTGAAGTAAACATTAGCGGCTTAATAAGGGCTTCGCAGACAAGTTTGAAGGAAGCATATATTAGTTGGCCTTACCTACCTGCAGGGAATTGTTGGCCTGACTTTTATTTTTTTACATTTATGAATTTGTTCCCTTTGCAAAATTTATTTTAGACTGCGAGCAGTCTCTCTTTTTCTTCAGATTTAGTGGGAGCAATGCACGCGCGCGGGAGCGGCGAAGCCGCGAGACGCGCGAAACGAGGGCGGCAGCCCGAGAAGAAAAAAGAGAGACTGCCCGCTTAGCCAGAGCCAATGAATTAAGCGTTGGCCTCACAACGCAAAATACGATTGGCTGATTTGTGAGGCGTTGACAACAAACTGTCAACAATCGAAACCATTGACAAGTTGATGGTGGCTGAAGCACTGCAGGAAAGTTTGTCACGTTTCCCGAAAAAAAAAACATTAGATACGGAGCAAAGAGAAGCATAAGAAGGTCTCATCTCTCCCGGTACGTGACGTGATCGCGCAATTTAAATGCTCAAAGCCTTTCTTCACTGTCAAGGAACGCTTTCGTTCCAAAACGGTTGTCTTACTTTGGAAATTAAAACAGAAAGAAGCATTAGACTGTTTATTTTATAAAGCTAAAACAATAGTAATTACCAAAGGATGCACTACAGAACATCGCGCTAAAGAACAAAGATTCTCAAGAAAGAAAGAAAAAACAAATCGAATCGGCGCCCAAAGAATGATCTTGAGTGACTTGCAGCGTTGGCTTAGCTTTAGTTAAGCTACAATTAGGATATGTAGAACTCTGTCCCGTGAAAATTCAACATCCTGCAAACAAAAACTAGGCAACGGGTGATCTCATTCAAAACATAAAGCACAGGAAATGAATTATTCATATAAGAGAAATAGTCCAGCTTCATGACCTCTAAATGTGAGACCAGCGGCCAAAATTAAGATTTGCTCCGTCAATTAGAATCGACTCTAACTCTATGCACTGCATAAGCTGCGCTTTAAAAAGAAAAGTAGAAAAACCTCTGTTGTTCAAGCAACTCTAAAGTCACGTTTCACGTGCCTGGCCTGTCAACACTTTAGTTTTGACGCCAAAAAATCACTGGACCGTGAAAGACCATTCTCTCTGGCTTTGCGGGTAGTCTCTCTTTTTTCGTGCCTCTCCCGTCTCGCGCCATCAGTCACGCGCGTGGCCATTTGCGTTTCTCGCGTTTTGCTCGACGGACTACAGAAAAAAGAGAGACTGCTCGTAGTCTAAATTTATTTAATCAAGACTGTTTTCCTGTATGCTCGAGTTACAAATGTGTGCCACAATTTTTCAATACTAATTCAGGAACTAATTTATAGCTGAGGACTTCAATTTTTTTTATTCAATTCAATTCAGAAGTGATTTTGAACACTATTATCATAAACTTGTTTAAGGTGGCTCCCTAGAATAAATTGGCAGTGCGCAGCCTGAGCACTAGTATGGCGCGAGCTTTAAAATCTGCGCGACGTCCACGCAAAAATTAAAACAAACATGGCCTCTCAGTTTCGAAATATTCCCCCCAAAAAACTTTATTAACTTTCTATTGAAGCTCATTGTGCAAAAAGTTTGATTAGTGTAGGTCAAAACTTTATGAGAGGAGAGAATGTTACACCGGTTACAAGTCACTGTCAATCTCCATAAGAGTAAATTGTATGTAAAAACAAAGCAGAAATTTTCCAAAGACATATCAATGCTTTCACTTCAAAAGTAGATAAACGTTAAATAGTCTAAGTAAATGGTGAGTGGAAACTTTACTTGGAAAACAAAGAAGTAAGTACACTAACCCAGAAGGAAGCAATGTTGCTGTTTCTGGCCCTTGGTTCACGGTCAGTGGAAAGATCTGAAAGATTGAGCCAGTTCCCGAACAAACAATGGAGATTGTCTTCAAAGGCAGAGCTCCTCGGTCACTTTATTTCTCTAACATTTGATTTTATTTACGTAATTCTAGAAGTGGCTTTAAGACAAGATTACAGGGAGTGTAAATTTTTTTTTTGTTTTGCCAACTCTATCACATTGGTTAAAAAACTTATCAGAAAAAAGGTTTCCCACATAACTTGCAACCTAATCGAAGGAACCTTTCCATCGATGAACCAACATCCTTGTATTTTTTCTTGTTTCAAACGTCCTTCAACGCACATGCAAGATGCACTGGAAAGTGTTTTTGCACAACGAGAAAAATTTTTTACTCAGATTGACCTTTGACGGAGGCAATAGTTGTCCGTCGAGACCTACGGTCTTGTACGTGTAGCTGAGGACATGATACAATTTAAAGATCGGCGCCATCTTTTACAGCAGACTTTTAAAGAAAAACTTCACCGTCGAAATTATCCCTAAATAAGAACAAGGTTGAAAAAGTATCCGGAAGCGGGCTGACATTTGAAGATCTGCAAACAGTGTACAGCAGATTAGGAAATGAAGGGCTTATTGCGATCCTTGCACAACCACCGTCTTCATCTCCGACGATCACCATCCTCATGAGTGACCACCACGGTTTGAATTTTAGCTACAATAGTCAAGTACTTTGAAGAAAACATCTTGTGTCAGGTATAAAATTGAATCCGCCATCGCTCCTTTTTCAACTGGCGAGACATCACTGTAATAATACTAATAAACGGCTTCAAAACAATGGCGTTCGTACTCTTCAAAGAAACCACATGTTTTCAGTAGCTTTGTGCATTATGCGCATGCGGGCGTGATGGCTCGTGCGCGTATTTTGCTCACACGACCCAGAACCACGCGTGTTTTTCGGATTTTTGTGACGTCAACGTAGTTAATTAACCATGAATTTCTTGCGTTTCCTCCGGTAAATTTTTTTAAAAATCGCCTCATTTCTTAACAGTTGCAGTACCTTTGTACTGTCCTTTTTTTGTTAAAATCTGTAAGAGCTAAATTCCTCCATTAAGAAAAATTACAAATTTCAAAATATTGGCAAGACCCCATATTTTTTCCACTTTAAAATGTTAAGCAATATTGTTAACATAAACTGGCAAAGTTTAAAGACATTTCACCGAGGGAAATAAGAAATATTAAGAAAAAATGACAAAATAACTGCCTGTCTAAGGATGCGATGTTGGCATGGCAACGGCCTTAATCCAGAAAATGAAACTTTCTAAAGGAGCCTTCTTATATGGGTAACCTTAGGGCTTGGCGCACGCTACTGGTGTTCACGAGCGTAACACCGTGCCTTATGCACGATTCGCGTTCAAGAAAAGGCACGGTTTTTGTGCCAAAACACGGGAAAAAAACATGCAAAGGCACAGATTAGGCACATTTTAGGCACAGTTTGGGCACAGTTTTGGCACGGTTTAGGCACAGTTTAGGCACAAATATTCAACGCTGGGCACTTTTTTGAAAGTCTTTGCAACCCGACTTGTAAAAAAGAACAAACTTGGTACGAATTACAAAAATTAGATAAAGCACGATACAGTTAGAAGTATAGGAAGTGTAAGTTTTGAGCCACGGCGAAAGTTGGGAAAATTATTTAAAGTGTTCTTCGACAGTCCCTGTTTACTCCGAGGATAAAGTGGAAATTCACACGCGATATATGCGGTCTGAACCTTTTCGATTACCATGCAATTTTATAGACTGAGCTTTCTTTCGTTTCTAAAAGAAATCGTGAAAGTAAGTCAAAGCCATAATAACAAAAGCAAAGCTAAAGAAGTAAGGCACAAAAATAGCCAATAAAAAGTCGTAGAAAAGACTTTTTGCGATTGCGGTAAAATTGGTCTGAATTTGCATAACAACATGAAAAGTGGTAATTTGAAACCTTCATGCCAACGCGTGTTTTTTTTTTAATACAAAATGCCACTGCTTTTTAAAAATATTTCTCTAACTAAAAAGGTAGAATTTACACCTGGTAGTAAAATAATTCAAGCTGCTTGTTTGTTTTTGTTTTCTGGCTCTGTTAGCAAATTAAGCTTTCATCGTATAATAATCGATGAGACGTGCCAATTTGCTTCAAAACTCATCGGAGTGTAATCAATTTTTTTGTTTTCATTTTATAAGTCATATCACGAGTATATTTTTTTTTTTGAATGTAAATCTATCCTCCTGCAAAAACAAATATTTCGTTCCAACTAAACGCTCTGTTAAGAAGGGGAGAAGAAACCCACTTAACATCAGTGAAATTCTCGAAATCAACATGTAATATTATTGAGCTGAACACTTTTTTTAAATACGCTAACCTGTTTAAGATTCCAGTTTCCTGTTTGTCACGGCTTTCCCTGCTGTCTCTAACTGTATTCTCAGTCATGTTATTTCTTATTAGGGGATAAAAAGCGTGAGGTTCGAGTTAGTGCGAGGTTCGAGTTAGCGAGGGTTTGAGTTATCGGGAGTCGACTGTAAGTGTGATTTCTTTGAACAGACCATCCTGCGCCAGAGGGTATGAAGATCAACGACATATATGGAGCACTCCTTCCTATCCATCAATATCTGCATTCCAATCTAGAGATCAGCAGGGAGGCGCAGATAGCACAGAAACAAGCCCAACGTGATGACTACGAGCGGACAGCCAAGAAACTTCAAGATCTACAACAATTTTAGAGTGTCCGCTTCCAGTTAGATCCTAAGAAACCAATCTCGCAGAAAGCCACAGTGGTACAGCAACCAAGTGAAAGTTCGCCCAGGTGATATGAGGTACAGACTGAATCCGGTGCCCGGTACTTCAGGAATTGTCGCCATATTCTACCAGTGATTGAGATCCAACCACAAGAATTAAACCAGGCCCCATTAATTCCCCGAACAGAACCAAAGTCACCAAGTCCTGGACTTGTCAAACGTCCCAGCTCAACAGCAGCTGATGTTGCTGACCAGCCATCACCAAAGCAATTGCCCAAACAGTGTGTGCCAGAAAAGACCCCAGTAGGAATTGCGTTGTCTCGTCTACAACGAGCTATAAGTCCACCTACGAGACTAATTGAACAAATCTAGAGACACTATAATAATTTAAGAGAAATGTACTTGTAGTGTGTCGTATATGTAATTGTAGCTGTAATAGCTTTTCATGACAAGAATATCATTAGTTTTCTTTTCTTTTGTTCATGAACGTGTGACAAGTTTTCAGATCAGCATCTCAACTTTTGCGCGTATGAGGATTTGAAATGTGTTCCAACTTTAGAGTACACAGGTGCAAGAATCCCTATGCTAAATTTTCTAGCCACTTATCATCTCTAAAAGATGGCGGGATGTTGCAATACGCTATGCACATTCAATTAGCTGACGATTGTTTAGATAGTTATTCCCAATATGGACCATTCTTTGTTCATATTTAATTAGCTGTAGATCGTGCTAAAAATTATTATTCATTGTGCAGTGTAACTTTGTAGTTAAAACCGTTAGGACACTGAATAAATTTCGCTCACCAAAAGTTGTCTCGTCAGGATATTTTCTTCATTCTGCAAGCAGAAAGTACACGAGGCAACATTATGATGTTGCGTTTAACTCAACTCTTTGTTATTGTCTGACTTACATGTATCTTTTGGATTGGTACCTTATTGAACATTAGAGGGACTCGTACCCTTGTATCACTATGTCACACTTACAGACTGCATACCCATAGTTTTCTTACTATTTGTTCCACTCTGGTTTCCTTGTGGCTATATATTTCCATTATAATTAGTTATGAAGTCTGCAAAATTAATATCAGACGTTGTCCCTGATTCAGGTGAAGCTATATATACAGTAAGCCACATGTAGTCATAGACTGCCTATTTTTTACAGGTAGCTTGAGCTGCAGCAGAACATTACATGAAGTGGGTGCATGGGGGAAGGAAAACTTTATTTTCCCCTTTTTAAGTTGGCAAAAACTCAGAGAGGGGAAAATGTCTCTAATTTTGTGTCCAATTATTGTAGGTTAATGTAGGTTGAAGCAAGTGTTAAACACTTTGACTCTGGCTAATAACACCTCTAGAGAAGATCCAGGGGGAGTACTCTGGAGTTAAACTGATTGGGATGATAAAAAGAGGTCAGAAATCAAAACCAAAAATTAATAAGGGCTTCTAATAAAAAATTGAGGAAAAAAGAACCTGTTTTTCATTCAAGAAAATGTAGCTTTCATTCAACTTTCGATCTATCAGCCACACAATCAATTCCTACAACCAATGAACAAATCATGAAAATTAATCTACATTACGTACTTTTGCAGATAAAAATATAACAAATTCTGCATAAACTTAATATAAAGATTAACTTGTGAAAAATTGACTGAAATATAGCATAAACCAGTGGGCCTTTATGAAAACAGATCATAATTACGTTTTCATTCAGATTTTATGATGCACTTTTTGTTTACAGTGTTATTCAAACTAGTTGCTTCTTCTTTCTAGAAAAAAGTAGCCACAGGCCTCTGTGAGGAAAGTAGCCGATGCATTTTGTCGGCTGTCGGTGCTTTTTGAAACCCCTGAGAGGCACTCAGTCCAGATCTTGGTAATGAGAAGTCGTCAACATGGAATTTCTGCAGTCATTCTCAGACTGTCCTATAGAATACACCCACATTAACTGTATGCAGACAGCCATTACAACACCTGAAAGAGGATCATGAAGTTATCAGTTATTTTATAAAGATCCCTCCTTACAGATAACCAAGCCAGCCCAGGAAAGGTTGGCCACACCACCAGGGTCTATGTCCCCTACTCTTCTCAAACAGTACGTAGTGATGTGGGTTCTCTTATGTTCCACAAGAACTGTGCAGATAAGTGGACGGGACTTGGAAGTCTAACCATTTGCAGATGTCATTACACAGGAAGCACTTTCTTCTCAGTTATTTATTTAAAGACCTTGAGTGTTGGTCCGGCTAGGGTTTGAACCTGCAACCTCCCACTCAGCAGACAGATGCTTTCCCATTTGAGCTAACCAGGCGGTATATAAAGTAGCAGACCAGTGCTTTGATCATAATACATTGTTTTTTATGTGCAGAGTGTAGAGGTCAATGAGAATTTGTTATAGAGGATTTGTAGTTGCATGCTTATGCATTCACTTTTATAGTAGTTGTCCTTTATTAATGCTCTCCTGTTCTGACTTCCCAGTTTAAAAATAGCATGTGCAAATACCTACAAGAAATAAAAATCCCATGTAGAGTGAAAGTGCAGTCCTGAATTGACCTTAATAGATATTCAGTGGGCTTAACAGGAACCAAGCTTGGATGCAGTGAAGGTGGATGTGGGGCCTGTACTGTCATGATCTCCAAATACGATCACAAAAATAAGAAGATCAAGTATCCTTTTTGCAATAACATTCTCCAAGAGTGTTTTTACATATTTTCCAAAAAGGATGGGTCTCCTCTAAGGAATGGTCATCCAAATACTCGCAGGGAACCTTTCACTTCTATAACAGGGCTAGCTGAAAAAAACTCTCACCAAAAATCCTTATCTCTCTTCTTGTAAAACTTCAAAGGAATAAATAGTTCTGTGCGAAAGGTCTCCCAAAGAGGTGTCATTACTAAATTTGAAAATAATTATTTTTATATAGCTAAAAGTGCGAGTCAAAGTGTCATTTTTTTCCTGTTATCTTTGACATTTTTTATGCACTTTTCTGCAAACGGTTGTTTACTGCCATTGTGTGCAGTGGATGGAATGGCAGTCACTACAGTGGAAGGAATCGGAAGCACCAAGACTACACTCCATGCTGTACAGGTAGAAATAACATGAAATACCATACCTTAATAATTAGGCTGGTTTTCACTAATGATGGAGTTAAGCTGGAGTCATAAGAGTGCTTTGACAGTATAATGAAAATGTGAGTGCGTGGAGACCTAAATAGCCTGAGCACCACAGACGATACTTAACTCTGGTTATGCGTAAAGGTCGTCTACGAAACATTTCCAAAATCCTTGTTCTGGGGCCCCCATCTGTATAGCAGGATTTGAGTATGCACCATGATTAGCCTGGTAAAAAAACATTGTCAATAATTTGCCAGCCAGGTTAAAAAGAAATCAAAATGCACTCCCAGTAATTTGCTAAGTCTGTTAGGGACCCATAACAAGGTTTTTGATGCTGTTTTGCAGGTACTAACTGGGGTTTGATAACATATGCGACTCAGACTAGGAGTCAGAAGCTTGACTGAAGAATCAGAAATTTTTTTGACTCTGCTTATGGCAACTGCATCACTTGCGATCAAGACATTTAGTGAAAACCAGACTGTTGAAGTTGGAAGCAGAAGCAGACGGATTGACAAGTCACAATGCTTTTCATGCTGCATTTTGTGATTTCTTTAATAGTTCTTCTGCTTCTTCTTGTGACTTTGAAAATTCAGTTTTCACTAGAGGAACACTGTTTTCACTAGATTGTATCGCTCTATGCTTCTGATTATGCCTCTGACTCTGACCTCATTGCCGGTGAAAATTACCAGCCTTTATTATTTATTTTCTGTTGCATACTGGGACCTGGAAATCCACTTAATTTGATATAAAATCTAGCAAAAGCTGATCTCTATTTTTTTTTGGAATGTTTTATTCTAAAGGAGAGGATCGCTAAATCCCATGGATCCCAGTGTGGATTTTGTACACCAGGAATTGTGATGTCAATGTACACCCTCCTGAGGAACAACCCTATACCAACAAACGTAGAAATAGAAAGTGCATTTCAAGGTAATGGTTTGTAGGCAACAAAATAATGGACTTTTTGACAGGTTTGATTTGTCTGCGGTAAATTCTTTTTGTTGTACCCTGTTGTTAATATGACTTCCCATATTTATTCGATTATTAAATTTTTGGGTATTGAGAGTGGTGCTTATTCTAGGTGTGGGCACTTATTAAAATTTCATCATTTTCAAAAATTAATATTAAGTTATTTTTCCAACAATTTTTTTCTCTCTGTTTTTTAAATAACAAAGCTTGAAGATATGTGCCGCAGAACAGACTTTTAACTGTTCATTGAAAGTATATTTTAAAAAAGACTATTATAAAGGTCTTGGTCTTTGGAGAAGTCTACATGTATCAGTAGTCAATTTCTGTTTCTTGTCCCCAAGGTCAATATGATTCCAACTCTTTGTTTTTGTCTCATATAAAATTATGTCTCACAGTGTAACGTCTTCAAATGGGTCAGTCAACAAAAAGCTGATAGGGCAATTAAGAAATTACTTCCAGTTCTCTTCTTGACCATCTCAGATTTTTTTGTTTTGGGTTTGGGGGGGATTGGTGGGGGTGGCACTTAGTGAAGCGCTTATTTAAAATTTTCCTCCCTACAGGATGGGCATTTATTTGAGGCGGGTGCTAATTTGAGGTTGGGTGCTTCATGAAATAAATTACAGTATTTGTTTTCCAGGTAATTTATGTAGATGCACAGGCTACAGGCCTATTCTGGAAGGATTTAAAACTTTCACAAAGGTGATAATAAATTAATTATTTTGCCCCACGTTTTTACAATGTTGCTAGCATAAGAAAGGGAAGATTAAAATTAGGTCTCCTGATCAAGTGAGGCAACACAAGAACAAGTTTGCAAATTTAAAAGGTTTTCTTTTCACTGACTGAGCTAATTAAACCTTTCGGCCAGCGATCAAATGTGCCTCTGTGACAGTGATCATGCTGTCTGCTGATCATGAATGGTTTGTTATGTTTCAGGAATGTTGTGGTAAAGGTATGAATGGCTGCTGTGCCACAGTAAACCAGAATGGAACAGTTAATCACAAAACACAGAATGGAGATGTGATGGTGAGCCTTTGTATATGTTGTAGTTAATTTTTTATTTCAGTTAATTTTTATTTTTCCATTGTTTTGGGGTATGGTAATGTATGCTAATGAATTTAAAACAAAGGAAAAACAAAAATTAACTGACATTAAAAATTAACTGCAACATATATATATATGTGCTAACTAACAACAGAGAAGCACTTCAAACTAAACTGAGAAAAAGATTTCACCTAGAGCCTCTTAAACAGCTTATAGAGCTAGTATATATCAGCGATTGTGTTGTAATTGAGATGAGACAAGCCATCGAAAGGTTGGAGGCCAACAGGACCGCTTCAAGGAGGAAAGAAGATAATCAGCCAAAGGTTACTGCTTTTTATATGAGCAGTACATGCTCTAATAGCAAAAAACTTGACAGTGACACAGACTGTGAGTCCACATCAACCTCATCTACAAATAATGATTTGGATAGTGAGATTGCATAACATAACTTTATGCATGTAATCATTTTGTTAAAATGCCGATGAAATTGTTTCAGTGTTACACAATAATGGATGTTGTGTTGATGCACCTACTAATCTTTTTGTCAAAATGCTGATTAAATTGTTTTAGTATTACACAATATAGGACTTTGTGTAAAACTGAATCTAAATCAGATCCTTTAATACTCAAGCATCATGCTGCTCAGTAGGGATGCTACTTAAAAGAAACTTGAAGACTCACCCTAGGTCATCCTTTGGCATTTTAAGGCCCCCAATTTCTCCTCCACCCCCCTCTCCAACTTAAATTATGACTGAGATTTAAACTCCTTGGCCACTGTGTCCTTACTTGCCTACGCCCTATTACATTTTGCTCAATAAGTGTTTTTGCGGACAACAAGTCAGGAGCCTGCAATACTATCTGGAACTTGTTATTACACATGCAATGCCTGTATGTAGCCAGCATTCGTTTGAAACTTCCACTAAGAATGGGTGGAATGCACAGAATGCAATTTGGTCATGCTTGTTTTGACTAACTCTCACGTCAAAGTTATGCAAAGCCCACTAGCATGGTGATGAAGCAAAAACGTTTTGACCTTCCATCATTGTCGCACACGGTCCGTAACCTTTGGTTATTACTAGTATTAATTCTTATGAGCTTGGAAAATTTGGCAGGTTTATTTTTTTTTGGGGGGGGGGGTGCTAAAATAAAAATTGATTTTATAGTCCTTTGTACATGTGGTAAAGGAATAAATTTTTTTCCATCAGCTTTCACCCTTTAACTTCCAAGAGTGACCATGAACATCAATTTTCTTCTAACAATTAATCCATACATCACCCAGAGAAAGGTTTATGATAATTAGTAATAAAATGATCACCCAAGGGAAAATGTTTTGATCTTTTTTTTTTTCTCTCAACTTAATTTCTTAAGAAAATGTCTGTAGAACAGTGTGAAGAATATATGTGGATATTGGGGTTTAAACGCCTGTTAACCTGTCCAGTATTCAAACTATCACAGTTAACATTAGACTAGGGTTTTAAGGTTTCCAGTACAAAAGAGAAAGAAAGGCAATGTTGGCGAGGAGAGAAAATGTAAATTATTAATGTTTATTTGTTACAAATGATTTAATATTTCATTATTATTATTTGGGTTACACTTGCAGGGTTGCAATAAATTGTTTAAAGCAGAGGAATTCACTCCGTATGACCCTACACAAGATGTCATTTTTCCACCTGAATTGATGGTAAGCCAGCTAGCCTGTAGCATGGGGCACTGATATTAATTAAGTTCTACAGTGGAACCTGTATTAAGGGGATACCGTATTAAGCAGACACCCTCTATTAAGCGGACAGTAGCTGAAGTCCCCAAATTTATTTCCCTTATTTACTTGAAATGAAACCTTTATTATGCGGACACCTCTATTAAGTGGACACAGACACCTAAAAAGTACCTGAAATGGTCATTCCTATTGTTGCCAACCTGTATTAAATGGACACTTGTAATTAAACTCCACCACCCAACATGCCAGACACCGGAAATGCGAAAGATTGTCACCCACAAATTTTAATATTTTTACATTAAAAAACGTGACTTGACGAACGTATTTGATTAGTTTCACAGTACAGTGTTGTTTTCTATTTCGTTTTGTTTCTATAGAGCTTGTTTCACTCATCTGAGTTCTTCAAATTTGAGTTGCAATCTAAGTTTATGGTACTATCATCTTTAATAAAGAAATTAATGCAAATGTGTATCGTCATAGTCTCTGGGAGTATTCTAAACGTTTCCACTGTTTATTTGAATGACATTTGACACCTCATATTACGTTATCTATCGAAACCTGTATTAGGCGGACACCCTGTATTAAGCGGACACTACAGCATTCCCCGAGGGTGTCCGCTTAATACAGGTTTCACTGTAACTGTAAATTATAGATTAAAATAATTGGTTGACAAAAAGTTTGTAAAAGTGATTAAATTGAAAATTTGAGGAAAGAGTAACAATTTTACTGAGAAAAATATCTGGGAATATTATACTGCGGTAGGATTGTTCTGCCAAGTCAGGTGATGAGTGCCAGAGCTGTTACTAACGGCACTTTCCAAAAGTCAGAACTGGCCAGCCGGATCAGACATTTTGGCAATGACATTTTGTCATAATATTTAGGATTTGACTGATCTGGATGGTTAGTTTTATTAAACGTTAATTCTCATTACGATGGGAATGGGCTGGTCGGTCAGTTCTGACAAATGGAAAGCGCCCTAATAGTGGGGCCATGGAATTTGGTTGAGACCAGATACCTTGGCAACAAAGAGAAATTGACAAATTGCAATTGCAACTTGCTTCAAAATTTACTTAATTAGCCCTGATGAAATTGTTTCTGTTTCAGAGCAAACAGGAATTGCTCTTGGGCATTTTTAATCAGAAATATGTTGCTTACGGGAGATGAATAATGAATGTACTCACTCACTTTTAATGTACTAATGGATGACATGAAATAGTTAACCTTAAATAGTCTCCTTACATGTACTACTATAATTTATTTGAAATAAGTCTGGTCCTTTCAGCTGATCCCCCATTTTATAGAAAGTCCATTTCTACACCACTTTCGTGGAGGGTCGTGGGTTCGTATCCCATCTGGGGCTCTTTATACCTCCACATTTATCACTTTGTGAAAGGTTTGAACCCAGGAGTCATTTCAAAAGTAGGTTGAGTTTGATCGTCCGGGTGAACGTAGTCCTGAATAGGACTGTTGTTGTTAACAGTGACTGACGTTTCGACAACCTGTGCGGTACGTCAGTTGATGGTATTATATTCTGGTTATTGATTTGATTGGTCAATTACGTCGTGATGTTATTGGTCGTCTGTCAGTTAAGCCGTGATGTTATTGGCTATGAAGACAACAGTAATTGGTGCGTTTCGATCCGTCTATTGTCACAGTTAAACAGTCGTCTATTGTCAGTCAAATTGTCATTCTCTCGTAGTTAGTTTTGCTTGATCTCGTCAATAAGTCGTTTGTACGGTGCTGGTAACTGTTAGATAGATAGATAGATAGATATCCTTTATTTTAAAACGATGAGTATTAAAGCTACATGAGCTTGTGGGGTCGTTTGCAATTAACTAATAACAAGTAAAAATATAAAAAACTAGGGGTATATACAGACAAAACGTTTGCACTAAATTAGCGCTTACAAATATGAAATTATGAGCATAAATTTAAGTATATACAAAGTCATCTTTTCTAAAATTACAAGTGGATGCAGACGTTATCTTGAAGCTGAATTCATTAAAATTAGCTTGAGATTTAAGCTTTAGCCTGAGATCACGATAAGGAATGTTTTTTGTCAGGGCACTACAGTTGTTGGTCACTGCGTTCCACAGGACTGAGCCTCTAAACGCGACAGAGTCTTCCATGTAACGCGTGTTGAAGCGTGGAACAATTAAAGAAGCGCAAGTCCGGGTTGAATAGTTTGTGGCCCGTTTCTTAGAAATCAGGTCGATTAATGTGACAGGTAACCTATCGTGGAAAGCTTTATGAAGACAGATAAAAATGGCTAATTTATAATAAATAGACAGAGTCGGCCATTGGGCCCGTTGTAGGACATCAGCAGATGCCATGTCTTTCGGCAAATGAAAGATAAGTCTCGCAGCCCTGCAGCGAAGTCTTTCCGGGGGCTGAAATAAGTCGGAATTGCAGCAAGAACCCCATAGTATAAGACCATAGGTCACTGAAGGCAAGATGACCTTAAAATAGAGGTCCTGGCGAACGTTTCTAGGGAGAAATCTCGACTTCTTAAGTAATCCTAGTTTTTTAGCAAATGATTTTTTGAGTTCCAGCATATGCTGAGTCCTGTTGGCTACGATTCAGTGGCGTTTGTTCTAAGTTAGTAAACCAGCTTTCTAAAGTAAGACGTTGATAGTAGTCAGTAGAATACGTTATACATGTCGCAGAGTACCAGTCAATTTGATGTTTCGTCTTTAAATGGTGCTCAGCAATGTGATTGTTGACGTCACAATTCTTCGTAGCTCGTTTGTGTTCGGTCAGTCGCGTGCTTAGGTTTCTGCCGGTTTCACCAATGTAAGAAGCCTGGCAGTCGCAGCATTTTATACCGCTCCCTGTCTGTCCTCCGGTTTGTCTTTGTCCTTGACATTAGTAAGCAGTCGCCGTAAAGTGGTTATCGGCTTGTGTGCAACACGTATATTGTAAGGTTGTAATATACGTGCAATAGTTTCAGAGGTGCCTCTGATGTACGTTATAGTCGCTGTCGTAACAGGGCCAGAGTTGGTCTGAGTGTTGGAATCAGTGTTACTGTGAGTGTTCTGTCGAACAAAGTCCGTGTTGTAATTGTTCTTACTAAAAACGTTGTTAAGATAATCAGTCTATCACTTTCCCGGAAGCATTTTTTTTATTAATGACCCACATAAAGTGTCTGTTGTAGAGAACCAGAAATTATTCGCTGGACGTCAAGAAAACAGTAATGGACTATTACATTATTTTGCTATTCTCTGAATTCTTAGCTCCCAGAAGCTGCCAAGCCAAAAAGTTTGCACATTAAAGGAGATCTTGTGACTTGGTACCGGCCAGCAAGTTTGGAGGAGTTGTTGGAATTGAGGGAGAAACACCCACAAGCTAAACTTGTGATTGGTAACACTAAAGTAGGTAAGGGCTGCCTTTTTCCCCAAATGTAATAATTATAACGCGGGATGTGGTCAGCCAGCGTCATAAATAATAAAATTATTCGGGAGCGCATTCCTTTCGTATTTTTCTTGGGAGTCTAAAATGCCTTGTTTTTTTAACCTTCCCATTTCCCGATCCCATCCTGAGAAAATCGTGTGATTTTTATTGGCTGCAACTTCGAATAACGTGCAAGTCAGGTTAGATTGAACAAGCAGGAAGAAAGATACCGCGTCAGCGGGGAAGGGAAAAGTAAGCTTGCTGCGTAGAGGAGCCTGAGACGACTAAGACTTGGCCTCGAGTGACTGAAAATATTGGCCAAGTCGCTCAGCTGGGCGACTTGCTGGTATTGGTTTCTTGATTTACAGTAAAAAAACTAGAATTATTTTATTACTGGGGACTTTAGCTTTGAGGCGAACTCTTGAGGTCGACTTGTATGTAGTATGTCTATGTTGTCGAAGGCCGAAGACACGAGTGGCGAAGCCGCGAGAAAAAACCTCTGGCGCAGAGCACCTTGATTTACCGTGCTAGATGGACCTTGACCTTGTCTCTAATGGGTCAATCAAAGCGGCGGTCGCGAGACTGTTTTTAAAATAAGCTAATTCAAAAGTAATTCACATGTAAAACATAATCCTTGACTATGAATGTGACAAAGCTGCACAGTTTTCGATTTTAGCAGTTTTTCACAGATCAATATAACATTAAATTTTTTCTTCAAATCAGGATGGTTCATTAGTTAGTTTTTCAGAAGAAATTGTTACTTCTGTTGTTTCGGAATACAACACTATTGTTTCGGCAACGCGAAACAATAGTTTTGTATTTCAAAATAATCGCTGAATAAACACGGGAGTGGCTCTTTTCAGTGCTAATTGAATTTTTTTTACCTGTTTCTTACTGCTGTGCTGCTAAGCTAAAACATAACTTAAGATTATCAGTGTTCAATCTAGGCTGCTTTTTTGCATCATTGACGCGGAATATTCTGTTCTGACCCAAAATGAAATTATCATGGAGTCATGCTGACGCAAAAAAGTTACCTCCTTAGTATGTAAGTGCTTCCAAAGCAGCAGGTGATAATAAAAGTAAGTTTTAAGAAAAGGTGAGCTTACTAGCCTGAAATGAGCACACAGAATGATTGTCATTCAATTCCAGACTTCGTGCTTACAATTAGTTTTTATGCCAGGCATTCCACGCAATTCTGAGAGACCGGAGCGTACGTTTGGACTCTCTGCATACATTGCTTTGCCGATCGATTTGCCCTTCGTTTGTTGACTTTGTTCTTTTGTTTTCATTCCATTATGAAACCGCAATTAACAGAAGTTACAGTGTAAAATCATTTTTTACAAGAAAGAGAATGGCAGTTAAGGTTGAATATGAAAAACATGAAGATGCATGTCCATTAGAGTTGTTCAAAGTTTCAATATCATAGTTTGACCCACTCCATGTTTTAAATGACCCAATTTAAAATGCTGTGTGGGGCATATGACCCGCACTTTGACCAATTTCTAGATTGAGCACTGGATTATATTGTTATTCCAGTAAAATACGACGACTATTGTTCTGATTTTTTAGCTATTTTGAAAAAATAGCTCATGTCAGTGGTGTGAGCGTGTGTATCTTTGTGGCTTTGTATCTTTGTATGTTCGGATGTTTGTTGCAAGAGCCAATAAGGTTGAAGGTACTATGAGTTGATGCTTAGGAACCAATGAGATGTTGGCATCTACTTAAACATGACATTGCTAAAGGTCGAAGAAGGGCACTTTAAGATAGCCTGCGTAGCAAGCGTTTCCGTTTGGTTTCGGAGTAAAGAAAGACCGAGGAACGGGATTTTCGGTTTTGGCCGCGCGAGAAATGAGACAAGAGCCAAAAAATGAAAGTTGGGGGAGGGGAAGGGGAAGGAAGGAAACGCCTGCAGACAAACCCCTCGATTTTAAAAAACCTGCGTTCGCCAGCGAACGCAGCGCCTGATTGGCTTGGCTAGTCGAACAATGTTGACATGTGTCGATCAAACGTTTGTTTCGTACGTGACACGTATCAGGGGCACCCAACGAGAATATAGTTCAAAACCACATAAACATAGCATTGTTTAACGTACTTTAGTATTCAAACGGTAGATAAAGGCTTATTTTTATCCCCTAAAAATTTTTCATCTGTTCGGATTGCCTAGCTGAAAGTCTAGTGATCCGAAAATTATAGGGATCAAAATTTACCTTTTCGAAAATTTCAGCCAGAAAAAAGGCTCTCGAAAATTCTAGGTGACCTTTTTAGGCTAAAAATCCGTTAAAAATTTGGCAATTATACGATTGAAAATCCTAGGAGAGGCAGGCAAGCAAGAAATTTTTCAGAAAATGATCCGAAAATTCTAGACCTCAAATCGTCTTCCGAACAGATAATTTTCCGAAAATTGTCGTTGGGTGCCCCTGACGTATATTAATTTTCAGTGATTGTTGTTTATTCTGGTCGGCAAGATTTGCCCGCCAACGCAAGAACATTTTCTTTGACCTCTTTTGAAACGTAAGGCTCTTCTTGCGACTAAATAAGGGTTTCAGATCGTTTAATTTATTCTCCAAAGTGCCTCCTGGATCTTAATAAAGATTTTCTTTTGTTCGCGAATGCGATGGTTTCCTGCACTGTGTCATGCGGGGCCCAGCTCGGTAGTGTCTTTTTGAGGGATGCTGAATTCTCTCAGATGGTGATTTGCAGACTGTTAGACGGATTAAAAATACAAATGTCCAAAGCTTGTATTGATCGTTCAGATTCATTGATATTTCAACATAAACGCCGTCCACGTGTTACAAAATACAAAAAAACATATTTTGGGTTCACATACGCGTCCTCTGAAGTTCATTTCCGCTCCACTGAAAGCCAAACATTTTATTGGTCAATTATGACAGCTGATGACAGCATCAAATGTCGGTGCGCGAAATCAGGCATGACAGGCCAAATGGGCGGTTTTCAAAATCCCGGGGTTTGTCTGCAAGCGTTTCCTTAACTTTCTTGGCCACCCCCTCCCTGCTCTTTTACTTACGCCGTTTTTCGCGCGGTCTTTGAGTCTCGTTCCTCGTTCTTTGCTCCTAAACCGCACGGAAACGCTTGCTACGCAGGCTAACTGTAAGACCGCCATCTTGATTCTTCACAATTTTTTCGTCTTCTATTACGGCTACAGGTGTTTGGAAACATTATATTAAATATCTTCATGATTCAAACGCTGTGTACAGTGATGCAGCTGCTTAAGGGTTCATATTTTAGGGTGGATGCTACTTCAAGACATTTCTGACCGAATTCGGCTATCGCGAACAGTACCACGCACGTATTTATGAGTTGTGTTTCACCTGCGTCAGGGTAAAGTATAAAAGATCATATATTTTCAAATCTCTTCCAGTGAAGCAATAATTGATATTTAGATGTGGACTTTAAATCGAAAGTATGCGGCCTATAAAATGTGGTTTTAGAAGTTTGAAAGGCAGCTTATTTTTTTAAAGCTGTAACGAGTATTGTTAATCGTGTAAACAAGCTGTAGAAATATTTTCTCTCGCTTACAAAGTTCAAGAGACCTTTTTCGTTCCGGCAAAACAGAAAAAAAAGAATAATAAGTGAACAATATGACACATCTTTCCTGCATACTAAGCATTATAGTTATTGAAATGTATTTTATTTAGTAAAGATGTGTAACTTAAGTAGAAACAGTAGCGTTAGGGAATAAAATTGGAAGAAGCTAGTTGACACAATAATTAGATAAAACATACTTTAATTGCAGATGTTGTAATGAAAGTGAGGTGATTTCTTAAAACCGTTCGAAAAAATTTTGTGGTAAACAATTTGCGTTTTTTTTACGTACGAATTATAAAAGGGCCAAAGACCAACATCTTCACGTGCAAATATTGTGTGCAGGAATTATTTTTATAATTCTCTGTTTACTCGATTACTGTGTGATGACTCGAATTCCCTCACGTACAATCCACGAAAGGGGGCAAAGTCCAACACTTTCAGGTGCCAGTTGTGTGACTGTACATCTCATGCAGGTTGGCTTTTCACAATAATAATTATAGTAACTTGAACGTATGAGGACCTGTTTCGTTTTGTAACCAACGCCTTAAAAAAGGCTCTTGTCTTTTGAGAAGCAATAGCTTTTAAAACATGAAGAAAGAAGTTGTCGGAGTTAAACACTGTTTCACTGACTAGAATCGCACGTGAAAACTTCGTGAATTGTGATGATGCAACCATCTACCACAATGATAAAAATCCTGGTATTTCGTAACTACCCGAATTCGATGAGTCACATTTTGGCTTAAGAAACTCCGAGGAAACCTTAGAGTTTTCCTTCTAATCAACGTTTGGTGAGTAGAGATATATATTTTACTTTGACAATTTGTTTAACTTGCACCAAATGTAACAGGGAGAGACAGAGGAAAGTGAATATATAGCATGAGGATCGACGCATCTGAGCGTTTCGCGTTTTCATTTATGTACGGCAATACTCAATTTTGCACAAAAACCCAGTGTACGTTTAGGACGAAAAAGGTAGATTCATCACTCGTGGTAAGGTTACACTGAAGCATTAAAGTTACACTGAAGAATTCAAAATAGCTCATGCACGTTTAACGTGCCTATGTTTTTAGAGACAGGTATAAAGTGCGCACTACGATTGCGATGCATTGTGGATTCAAAATTTTCAAGATGGCGGCGAAGGTCGAGAAATTTCGCAGGTTATATGCTTTATTTTTCAATAGATACAGTTCTTTCCTTAGATCGTTTTTCTCGATTTCATAAGCTAATATCTGTTTAGATTTTTTCTGTGAAGAAAAACAAATCAATACTCTTCATTTCAATCTAAAACGTGGAGCCCGAAGTTTCCTCCTGTAAGAGCATGAAATTTGAACCCGGTTTTTAAGAAGCTATAATTTCCATTATATTGCCCGTCGAAAGTGGAAGATAGTTGTAAGTGTTTCCACAAACCTTGTTCTACGCTAATTTTTTATCGCTCCCCAACGCGCCCCACGTTTTGTGATACTTTTTCCGAATTGAAACCGGCATGTTTTCATAGGAAAATGTAGTCTCGCGAAGACCAATGTGACATGTTACTGGAAGTGTTACTGTTGTAATCACAAGCTGATCACAAAATAGCGGGGCAGCGGCGACTGGTTCCTCCAAACAATAGCATTAGGAGAGCATAAAATGTTCGAAATTGGTATATAAATAGGCTGATGAGCACTCTGATGTAGGAATGTCTGTTTTTGTAATAGGACTAAAAAAAGCATAATAAAATAATAATTTGTAGTCATACATTTGATTCCCTTTATGCAGGTTTAAAATCAGTAGGATAAGAGTTACAGGTATTAAATTAAATGATAAGTTTGATTATACAGTTAAGCCCTGTGCATTTTGAAACCAGCCATCCTTTATGAAAAATGGTTTTTGGGAGAATTGCAAGAATAGTGCAGTGTAGAACAAGAGTTTCATAACATCCACCAAGCTTGCACTTTACTTTTATTCAGAGAAATATGCACATCACTCTTGAGAAAAGAAAACCATAATCTACTTCCAAGTTTGTTGTGTGTTGTTGTGTGGATGTTATGACTTTGTCAGTTCCTTGCCTAGTCCCTTTTTTATTCAGTGGTGATTAGCCTCTGTAGCAGGCCTTTAAAAGGAAAGGGAAAGGGGTTTTGGGCACAAGAGAAATGCGAAGACTGCACGAGGAAGGAGGGAGTGATTTCAACATTCACCTGGTTGATGTTTATAATGCAAAAAACAATTCGTCTCCTGTATGGCAGGCATTTCCCTCCCTCCTTCCCTCACATTTCTCTTGCACCAAGACCCACTTTCCCTTTTCTTTGAAATGCCTGCCACACAGGCTAAGTGATGTCATTCAATCTGTTTACCCGTTTACACTGTTTAATATATATCAAGCCATAATATTATTTGCATATTTTGGTGGCTTTAGTTAAAATATAAATTGCTTGATCATTGAATGTACTTTTGATATTGGAAGGCTGAAAAGATGGTGACAGGGAAAGGAAATAGAAAAAGTGGAACAATGGGGCAGTAAAGTTGTGAGACTAAGAACCTGAATTAACTAAGTAAGCCTAAACAGATTCTTATATAAATAGAAGTTAGCACAAGTTTAGGCTATTTAGGTTTTTAAATGGATTCATATTTTCTGAAGAAAAAATGTAGCTAAGAGTATTTGTGTTTCACCTTATTCCTTACATAAAGTCTGCATACCAAATTAGAAGTTATGTGAGAATGGACATAAAATGATGAATGTATTTAAATTTAAACATTGGCATTTACATTGCGGTTCAAGTGATAAGACAGCTTTGTATCCAAAGAAGATTCTAAATGTTGATTTATCTCTGCTAAGTGTACAGAACTTTTTCATAGATTTCAAAAATAAGAACCAGTGTTTCAAATTCTAGGCAAAACAGGTTTTTATATAGAGGGGGCTCATCTGGCATATTTAAGCCTAACAGGTTCTTAAAATTCAGGTTCTAATTAAGTCAGGAGGGTTTTACTGTACTACTAGGATCCAGCTCTGCAATAACTGGTAACCCAAAAGCCCTCTTTACGGACAACCGCTTGATACAGACACCTGATCAAGGCTGTGCTCTAGCAGAGCCCTGTGGCCCCTGGCACCTAACTTTTGCTTTTGTGACTAGAAAATCTCAGACTTTTCATACAAATCATATGCTGGGCAGCCTAGATTTTACAGGTTCAGAGAACTGGGCTCCTTTCAATGTTCCTTAGAGCACAGCCTTGCTCATCATTACAGACAGCTTGCTTTGTTCCGTGGAAAAAAGCCTTAAATTTTCACTAAATTAAGATGGATAATTTCTACGGTCCCCTCAGTGTCTGCATAACAGAGTTGACTGTGAGTATGATGAGACCTATGACACCATATTTAAATTATAAAATTGGGGTGAGGAGAAAGGAAAGGGGTCTCAAGCTATGTTGCCCCAGCCTTGATTACAGGAGATTTGTAAACATGTGTATGAATTTCACATTTTGAAGAGTTTTTATAATCCAAAAAATATGTGATAACATGTGTTTGTACATACTGACACAATCATTAAACAAATAGTGGCTGAAGCTTTTAAAATCTATTGACTGCATCACGCTTTGTAATCACAAATATGCCATTTTCAGTTTCAATCCAGTTGTAAGACATTCTATGAGTCATACCAATAGAAAATATATGGGCAAATAAAGATGCTCAATATTATATTAATTATAAAGAGGACACAAGTTCATTGTACACAAATGCTCTCTACTTTATTTACTTGTCTTCATGTGATGATAAATACAGATGTTAAGCAAAACGAAATGCAGACTTCCTGCCAACAGAGAAACAAGTCCTTGAAAAGATGACCCCCTCAACTTCGATTCTCTTATTACAGCTAGCAAGTGAACATCTTGCAATGCTGAATGACAAAACAAAAGAAGCTCACTGTGTTTAAATACCGCGGCCGGGTATTCTGAAGAAGCTCCTAGTATTTTATGAGTATATCACAGCTATGCATATCAGTACCTCTTAGCACTAGTTGCACTAATTTCACGGTGAATTCAAAATTTTCGGCGAACCGCGGGTCTTACCTCCACTGCTTTTCATGATTGAAGCATTGAACAAAGCGTTTCTGTGCCGACTTTTCTCGCTCAGTTGCAAACTGGATGCAAGTGATTACGAACAAAATACACCAGAATACACTTATCAACGGATTGACCCTGTTTTTTCCCTGAGAATTGGACAGACTTTCTTTTTCAAGAGCTTCCGGAAGAGATTCAAAGCAAAATCGTATATATCTACAGCGTAATTAACGAATATTCCCTCCGCAGTCGAGATGTTCACTCCTTGCCATCTTGACACAAATGATCAGATTTTGAATACCGCCCATGATGCTTAGCGATCGTAGTGCGCACACCGCCTGGGTAAAAATCAGATAAATCTGTAAAGGCCTGCATTGTCTTTCGTGTCGTGACATGTCATTACATATCACATACTAAAAATAAATAGGCAAAAGCTAAATTTAATTTAGCGATGAAAGTAGAGCTAGCTAGCTGGCTACCTAATCCACAAAAGGTTCATTTGTCCTGAACATTTCACTGATAGTATAGAAAAAAAATACTTCTTCTGCACTTAAACGACGGCTTTCCAACAAGATGATCTGTTCCAAAAAGGTGATAGTTTTAGGGCGGCCGCGGTTTCGTTGAAATTCGTAGCAGCTTTCGCGGAAAGTTTCACGGGATCTCAGTAATAACCTAAATGATTATTAAAAAGAATAGTGTCCGTATTTTTCACCCAAACATTTTTGTAAACGGACCAGAATCTTAATTTTCCAAATAAAAAAACATGAAATATTGGGCGGCGTACGTTGCCCTAATGTTTCTCATATGGTGCAAAAACTTTGATGGGTATCACAGTCCATATGACAACATGCGGTTTTTTTTTTCCGCCTGCTCAGGAGGTCAAAGGATGTGATTTTTCATTAAAATGAAAAGTTAAAACAATAAATGAATTGACAAAGTTCTGCTTGACTTGTTTAGAAAATAATTTGTTCAATTGTTAAATAATTAACTAACAGTTCACTGATTTATTAACTTTGGCGATCTTATTCTTTTAGGCCTGGGCACCCCAGCTAAAATGCTTGGAAGCCTGAAAGGCTCCCTGAAATTTTCCTTAGGGTACCTGTAGTTATTGGAAGTCTGATACATTACATGCTTTATTGTTGAATGTGGAAGTGCATTTGTTGAGGACATTAGTAAAGGGGGAATGCGAATTTTAGTGAACTACCACATACTCTCAACACTTTTTTTTACCGTATTTACGCGTGTATAATACGCACCCTAATTTTTGACCACTTTTTTCCAAAAAAAAAAGATTTCTAGACAAACACCAAGAATTAAAACTTCAATTTTTCAATTTACAATTTGGCAATTAACAAGAGCGGAGAATTCATTAATAATATGTTTACAGCAATTTCTAACTACTTTCTACCACAAATATTGCACGCACCGAGTAACAGAACATCTCTGTCTCTCCTGCACACATTTGTTGTTGATACACTTATAAGAGTATTTTCCCCATAGTTTCCCAATAGGCTGCACGCTAGACCAATAGTGGAATCTCTAGATGGGATTCTTCTTTTTGACTTATTAATAAGTTTTCAACACCTAATGCAAGGTGCAAAGAAAGTCAGTTTTACAGCTTGCCATTTGGGCTGTAGCTAGCATGTATTTAATAGCTCGAAAAATGTTTTGATGAGCAGGATTGGTTACAGGTCTTATTCTGTAATTAGAATTCCCCCAAAAACTTCCTTTGCCAACTGGGCAAAATCCTGATAGCAAAATCCAGTAGCCCTGGGCTATCAGACATGACTTCCTTTGCACTCTGCTACAGGTAATTTGGTTTACCAAAATGTTAACTGTTCTATTTTCTTATTTTTTTTAATCAACAGGAATTGAAATGAAGTTTAAAAATCAAAACTACCCAATCCTTATTGCAGCGACTCACATCCCAGAGTTGAATGCTGTAGAAGAGACTGCAGATGGTATCATATTTGGAGCATCTGTTACCGTTACTACTCTTGAACACGTACTTAAAGACGCCACTCATTCTATGTCTGGTAAATAATAATAATAATATATTTTTTTTCTCGTTACAATACATTATGCACATTTAGTTACTGCTTATTCCTCCTCTCCAAAGAAAGCTTAAAATGGGGTCACTGGAAAAAATGTTAGAGCACCAAAAATGCCCCAAACTAGGTTGGTCTGGGGGCATGCTCCCCCCCCCAAATTTTTCATTTTATTTCAGATTTCAGCTGTATGCATGGGCCTATGTGCATTTTTAGATGCTGAAAAATAATAGGGCAGGTCTCCTGTGCTGAAGATAGCAGAATGTCATTCAGCTCTTATTTTTTTGGTAAGAGGTAGGGATCTTTAGATGCACCGCTTTGGTGTGGTAAACGCTGAGGGAAAGGGGGCAATGTTACTCACCCTGATTTCCTTAGCTGCTCACTTTAGTTATGCTGTGTCCAGGTTTTTTCATGTCTGTTATGACTGCTTGTTATTTAATTTTCCAGTGTACAAGACTAGATGGTTTTCCGCAATACTTCACATGCTTAAGTGGTTTGCTGGTCATCAAATAAGAAATGTCGCAGTAAGTTGACCATACATCAAGTGACGGAGATCACTGTCTAATAATAATAATAATGATAATTATTTCCGTAGTTCAGAATACTTAAGAAGAATGTTGATGGGAAAATTGGACAAAATATACTATGGTTAAGGGTTCAGCTTGTAGTCCATGCAGGATTAGTAGAGTTGCAGAGCTGTATAGGGGTAACAGATGCCACCAAGGCATTTTGAGCGCTACGTATACATATGTCGTATACATAAACCCCCCCCAATTGCACCCAAAACTTAGTATTGCGATGTACAATCATGCTAAATAATGAGCTATTTCATTGCCAAAAGTGAAATCAAAAGAGAATCAAAGACTCCTAAGAGCTAACCCATTCATACATATTATAACAAAAATGATGGCAGTTGCTCACAGGTACATGTAGATGGAGAATCACTTACCGGTATTAGCTATAGGGTTGTCATTTTTGTACCATATGATATGTACAAATCACGCTTTACAGAGACTTCTTCAAAAAGCATTTTGCCCAATAATTTAATCTCTCTCAAAAAGTGGATCATGAATTAAACTTTTTATTCATGTTATCCTGTAAAAAACAGTGCAATCTTTGAGGTCATGTACAATAAGAAGCCTTAAAATTCATGCCTACTGCTTTTTTGTGCACTTTAGCTTTTGTCAGTGTTCACCCATAAGTAAATAGTCAATTGGCCAACTAGAGCATGTGCTTTCTTGTTTCATTTAAAAACAATATAATAGTGAATAGTGAATTCATTTAATGAATTCACTGCACCTTAGGCCATTGGAGGGAATATTATGACTGCCAGCCCTATATCCGACTTGATTCCAGTGTTTATGGCTGCTAGGTGTATGCTAACATTGGCTGCTGCTGGAGGTCAGTAAAATTATATATTATTTATAATAATATTAATACAAAACCTCGCTTTCAATTCCTGTATGTTCGTGAGCCAACAGCCTTTGCACAACCATCCTATCCGTATTCTTCATGAGCTAGGGAGGGGCTATTTGCAAAAAGGCAGTAATATTTTAATTTGGAAGAACGCAATGTAAAGTTTAGCTTGAATTTCCAGTAGGTGTTGGTGGGGAAAAAAAGAGCATACAGTCTTCGCCTGGGTTCAAGGAAAGCTGCCACAGGACACCAAGTCCTAAATAGATCGAATCACATTTTTCGTAACTGTGTATAAACTCACCCATGTAAATATTTCTTTTTGTAACACTTGTAAATATTTTTGCCTTGTTGTAATTGTATTATTGTATAGAATAACCCTGTATAGAGGAGTCGTAATAAAGTGTCTGTTATGTTAAGTCTTTGTCTTTTATTTACCAAAGCTAACAACTTTGGATTGATTTTTTGAAAATTTGAAAAAATATATATTCACTTTTTTTCTTATCTCCTGAACTTTGGAAGGAAAAAAAAGAAGAGTCAGACTGGACGAGAGTTTCTTCACTGGCTACGGGAGGACAATACTGGAACCAAGTGAGGTGTTGGTTAACATTCTCGTCCCATTTACTGAGAAGGTAAAGTTGCAATATATGCATATATTCCGTGAGGGTAAGGGGCCACGCCCAGTACTGAGGATACAAAGGGGAGGGGTAGAGACTTAGATGTAGAGTATGGTGAGAGGTGCGGGGCTGTAAGCTAGAATGAATGGCAACTCCAAGGGTCTTGATCAAAACTTTCAGTGTAGTCAATGTATCTCTGCTGATTGATTGAGGGTAGACGATACCAAGATTGCTTATAATTCATTTTGTTTGATAATTGCATACTGCATTTAAAACTCCCGTGAAAATTCCTATTGTAACCATCACCTTCATAAGATTGTTGGCTTTTTGAATGATGAGTGTTTTGAACTATAAGTAAAGTAATGACATTCCGTTAACCACCCCACAGTGGTAGACTATAAGTGATTATGATTTCTTACATGAGCTTCTTCAGGAGTCAATAAATACGTAAAAGGAAATCTACATTCCAGTTCTGAATGTTCCGGTGTACAAAGTATCCACTG